ATACGTATGCATGTTCTTATGTTGAATATAAAGTTTGAGTTGATTCCGATCAAAACTGGATTTTTTATGAATTTTAAAAGTTGTTCCAAATGCCATGTACTGTATTGTAGTGCTTGTCAGCTCATGAAGCTCATGCTGTTTAACTCACTTAGCATTTTTATATTATTTTTTTATTTCCAGGCAGAGATTAATGAATGTCTGTCTTTTAACTGATAATGATTTCAGTCCGAGAGACATTTTGGAACCATGTAAGTTTATTATTAATAATTAATTAACCACTAGTTAATTAACCATTACAGCTCCAAAAAGATTACAGAAACATTTGAGGTAAAAAAAATAGCTATTACAAAATTGAACATATTCTTATTTTATTTTAGCGCTGTAGTCAATTATGTCAAATTTTTTAACTTTGCTGAGCAAATTAGTAACACTGAAGGGAAAAGGAAAGAAATTGTGAGTGTGTGTAAAATTGTTTTTATATTTTATAATAGTTTTTTTTTTAATTTTTACACACTGTATGTTTGTGTAGGAAGAGTTGAATGAGAAGCTAAAGGCCTCAGTGACTAGCATAACTGATATCCAAAGAGAAATAGCTGAATTAGAGTAATTAATGATAACTATGTTTCTATTCCTCTCTCTCTCTCTCTCTTTCTCCTTTAGAGAAAGTAAGGAGGCAAGAAAAGAAGTTGAAGATGCGAGGAAGCATCAAATTGCTGAGCAAGAGCACGAACTTCAAGACCTCAAGACTCACATGGTAACATTTAACATACAGTACATGTACATGTATATTATTATTAATTTCATATTTTTTAAAAGTCAAATTTAGAGTCTAGGTTAAAATTGGCAGAAGAATCACAAGAAAGAAGCAAAAAAGCCCATGTAAGATCTTATCTTTAGTATTATGATTAATCTTTTCCTTTTTAAACCTCTCCCTCCCTCCCTCTCTTTCTCTCTCTCTTTTCCTTGCCAGTCGACTGCTGAAGAAGATTTAAAGCGATCAGAAGACAGAATCAATGACCTTAAAATGCAAGTGGTCACTTCGCCCCAAGAGCTCTATCAGGTGTCCACGAGTCATGTGACCATCATGTGACTATCATGTGACTCCTGTCTTGTTTCTGTAGAGTGTTGATGAGGTACGTAAAGATCTTGAAGATAAGAGGAACGTGAGAGATGAGACCATCGGTAATGCCACCATGTGGGAGACATTGGCTAAGAAAGCATCTGATGTTACACCAGTAAGATAGAGGGAGGGGAGAGAGAGAGAGAGAGATTTTGAACATAATATAAATAATTGTCATTTTACTGGAAAATTCATCACATGTACTTACAATATGTGTTTTTGTATCATTAGTCTGTGGATGATACTATTGGAGAAATAGATGAACTGTCACATCTGGTTGAGAAGACAATGTATGTGTATTTCTGTTTTGTTTAAGAATAAAATACTCATACTCTTTTCTTTCCTTTACATTTCTCTCTACTTCATTGTTCTATGTACATGTAGTCAGCTTGATAATGATTTAAAGAGATTAATGGACTCCAAAAGGAAACTAACCCAAGAACTTAAATCAAAGATATCGAGGGATCAGGTACTACAGAAATCTATTTATAAGTTCATGTACATGTACATGTACTTGAAAATATATTTTTTTAGAATTATTTGTTTGTATGTATTTTTAGAACCTGTCTGGTCAAATCAAAAAGATTGATGAAGAGATTAATGGTTTATCACAATATAAACGTACTCTCTCTTCCACTGATGGTGACTCAGAGCAGCAAAAGTATGTACATGTACAATGAATGGTTGCACAAGATGGTGACAATTAACTCTCTCTTCTTCTTTCTCAGGGAGATAGAGTCTTTTGAGCTCATTTTGGAAAACAAGAAAGAGAAAGACCACGAAATGTTAATGGAGCTCGAAGAAACAAAACAAAAAGTATAAACTAGCAGGACAAGAACCTTTTCACTTTTTGATACTTTGGG